TATATATATATATATATATATATATATGCACACACAAATAACTACCCCCACACACACATAATATTTTAAGCATTAAGAATATATTACTTAGTCAACTTTTTGGGGGATTTAACTGCTCTTAATTTCAGTAGGAATAATTTTCATCATCACAACCATTATTCAGATTCATTGGTCAACTTCACTTTTTTTTCAGCAAGTTCATTCTATAATTTATGTTTAAATATAGTAGATTCGAACTTGTTCAGTGGTTAATCTATATTCTAAAACAATTATTCAGAGTGTAGCATTCAAAACACTTACAAATGGAAATGTCTAGCAAATAATAGATTAAATATATTAGTTATATCAAATGTACAATTTATACACAACTTATGCCTTTTTAGTTCCCCATTTAGAGTTTTAACAAAAGTGGCAATGCTTGTTACCATTTGTTGATCGCTGATTCTTTAGTTTTACCTTGATCTTCTCAAGAATATGTAGGTTTCTCTTATTCTGTGTCCAGAAATGGATATTGAAATGTTTGTTCGGTAGGCTATCATTAGAGTTCAGTATGTGTTTTGCTACTTGTATAGGGTTTACACTTCTGAAGTTTATGAACTTGTTGATTCGTTAACCTAGTCACCTGGCTTTTAATCCTATACACTCTTTGTTAGCAATTCAAGTATTTGTACTGACATAAAGTTAATATTACAGCGTTGTTTCTTAAGGTGAGACATTATACAGGCATCCTTTTCTGTGCATATCATGAGGTTTTAGTGAGTTACATTCAAAATTTGAAGTACTATATTATCATGGTATATGAATAAGCTTTACATCAAACATAGCTAATAACCTAAATTTTAAAATTATACAAGTTTTAGGTTCTTACTTTTATAAGTCAATAGTTAAAAAATCCTCAATTTCCCCTAGTATGAAAATTGTGAAATTTGCTATCTAAGAATCCCCTCTTCTCTAATTTATTTACCATTCACCTGAGAAGTAAGAAATTTAATGTAAATTACTCATTATAATATTGTCACCTCTCAGGCAAAGTATAATTTTTATAGCCTCTATTCCATTTGGTTACAGGCCCCTCTTGCCATGCTCACCTGCCATATCCTCTCTTTCAGAAGTTAATATTTTCCTACACTGAAAATATATTTACCATAGATACTTACCTCCTTTCACATAATAACTTTTCTCATTCAGTGCTGTCCTCTATATGCACAAATGTTTTTTGCCTTGAAACTCCCACTTACCCCACGTTTCAACATGATTCAGCTGCATTGTAGCATGCAAATAAGCATGCAACAACCCTCCACCAATAAGAGAGTGGCACACTCTCCTGTTGCAGCTGGTTCCCTCTTTACTGTAGAACCCAAGATTCACTTCAAGATTAGGGAGAAAAGAAGCACCAGAAATGGAAAGGAAGAGCAGGAAGTATGAGCGGAAATATCTGTTGCAGATGTATTTTCAGTCTAGGAAAGTATTAATTTTAGGCACAATATCTTACCTCCTCTCACATAATAACTGGAATCTTAGATAAGCACCTTTCCAAAACCATCCAAAGAAAGTCCCTGGAATGTGATTTATCTTGATTGAGGAACACACTCATGGGAGACCACATCACATCTCAACCAGATATACTCTTTACCCATCATGAATATGTGTGTCACTAAACTGGGCAGAAAAGAGGAGCACATCCTTGATTGTAGACAAGTCAGCTGGTCAAGCTCCTTTCCAAAACTAGAATTCCCACGAACAAACCTGCAAAAGATGGTAGGATGGGGGTTCCCCAGTTGATTAGTTTGTTTAATATATAGATGGATATGTCCCATGGTGTAGAATGACTAGGGTGCATCAGACCATAGGAGATGGGTCAACTCCAGTCTAAAAACAAGTAGCATTGGGTATTTATTGTCCAGTCTGCAGTAGGAGAAGGGTCCTTACCATCTTCATTCCAGGATGAGGAAACATAAGGGAAAAACATTTAGTCTTCCTAGTCAAGGTACATGTGTGCAGATCTACAACCAAAACCAGTTACATCGGAATCTGACATCTAAAAGATGATAGGAAGGGAAGTTCAACGTGGGTTCACTTAAACCTAAAAGCAGACAGAGAATTTTTCTAGTGGCTGATCAAGCTCATTTCCAAAACCAGACCTACCAGGAACTGATATCCAGGAAATGGTAGGATGGGGTTTCCCCAACTGACCAAAATGTGTCTTTTTAGAACATCAAGTCTCCCAGGGGCTGACCTGCAGGAGATGGTAGGATGGGAATTCCCCAGCTGAATATTATATCCAATAATTCTATCCACAGTAGGATGAGAGCTCCCTACTATCGCATGTGTGACGACTTATGTTGGTTGGTCCAGCTCCTTTCCAACACCAGACCTCCTGGGAACTGAAAAAAATTGAAAAATTAAATGCCCATGAAAATAGTGACAGTCATCGTGAGTCATTTGCTGCTTGGAAAGAAACTGAGCACTGAATTCGACTTCAAATTGGCATTGATGAAGAGCTGCAAAGGCAAATTCAGCAAAGAAAAAAATAAATGGAGAGATGTACTGCAACGGTTGCTGGATTGTAAACAATATTAGCTTCTCAGAATCTTGCATTTCGTGGTCATACTCGAGGACGTAACCTCAAATAAAAACCCTAGGAAATTTACCTATTACTTTTGCAGTTATTAGCAAAGTATGATCCAGTAATGAGGGAGCATTTAGAGCATGTTAAAAAAC